AAGGTGAATTAAGCCGATATCCAGGGAGGGCCATTGTGAACATGTTTGCACGAGCCAGGTGGGCCATCCCGGCATCCACCAAGACGGCCGGATTGGTCTGAGCCTCCAATATTGGGTTGAGCAAAGACAGACTTTGGATTCAAATCGGAATGGCCGTCCGAATGCCATGAATATTGATCAACCCACCCCAGACGATCGAAAGCCCGCCCCTGCCAAGACACATAAGACATGGAGAGCAGCGATCGAGTGTGAAGAAGGCTACCCATTATTACGAGTGTCTAAGGAATGGATCGCGGCCGAACTTTTTACAACTATGAATAACGGGGACTCCTCTTTAACCGCCGACGGGAACGACTCTGAGATTTTGTTAGTCAACTGGATTGAACCTCCTGCCACCCTCGTCAGCAACCCAAACGATGTTCCTCTCGATTCTACTGCCTTGGGTACTACGACACCAAATCGGCGTTTCGTTGCACGCTTGGAACCACCTATCGATATGCCTATAATCGCAGCAGCGGAAGTATACAGGCTACTTGGGATGAACATGCCCGTGGAGCCCAAAACGGTTACATATGATGGACTGGTAGTTCCTCTGCCAAACTTAACTTCGACAGGAGACGGTCAAGATGAAAATAGTTTGGCAGCGCCCAACGGAAGAATTCATGAAAAAGTTGTGTATAGCTTTGACGACGATTGCCAACCGAGAAAACACCGGCATATATACACTTTCCACCCCTTTGAACATATTGTCGGACGCACCATACGTGATCTTCCGTTTTCTCACCCTCGGCAGTTGGCTGATGTTCTTCCTGTGAGTCCATAGACATTCACCCCTATTACTTTTTTACTTTCGAATTCCCCTTGCTTCATGATCAGCTACTTACCATTGTGCGTAGATCCTACGCCAGTACGCACTATTGTCTAGCCTCCTTCACAGGGTATTTGTTGGCCAAAACAACCAAACTGTCAGGTCGAGCAAATCTCCCTCAGCCCACTCGGTAATCTCAGCCTCGCCAAAGCAGACGTCCAAGTCTGACGTCACGTTTATAACCAATATCAGCCCTACAGTATCCAAACTGAACGCTATGCTTTCGCGTAACGATTCCAAGCATGTGATCGAAAGAAGCAACGGCCTTGATTCTCATGTTAACGGGCCTTTTGCCCCTGCGCCGACAACTGATGACCGGAAAATAGACATATCTTTACGAACTCCGATATTAGGGCCACCATCCTTAATGCTATTATTCAACGCGCCTAAGAGCGGGCCAAATGCGTCTATGGAAAACCCGACGACGATAACAATCAATATAGATATCGGACTCAATGGTAACATCACGGTCTCACGGGTTAGTGGAATGTGGGATGACATAAACGACAGCGGAGAAGGACTCTTGAACGATACATCCAGAAAAGAATCGCAGCACCTCCACCAAAGCCTCACCAGGGTGCTGCAGATATCTGAGGATTTTGGCATCCTGGTCGAATGGGTATTGAAATGGATGCGGAATCATGAAGACCATACCAATCGCTGATTCAAGCAAGCAACGATACAAGGAGTGACCGCTAATTATGCTATCCGTGTCACAGGCGACGTCACCACCTTCCAGATGGGCCAAAACATTCACACTTTCAATTTCAATCTGCACACATACCCACAAAACATTGAAATGGACTACAGTCAGGATAATAACCTACTGTGTCTGTGCATATGCGATCTAGATAGAAGGCCCTGTCGAAAAATGATAAATACGTCTTTCAATACTCCACCTCATTCTAGGCTCAACAACTGCTACTGTAGGATTCCCACGTGTTCGCGCCGCAACTCCTACCATCTCC